GATGAAAAATGCACCTTTGAGATAGAAGAAAGAAAAAAAAAAGATTTCGATCGATTCATTTTAATTACGAACTATAGAAAAAATTTAAAGTGGGTTTACGAATGTTTGAGATGAAGAATAGAACAAAAATTTTAGTTTATCTATTTAATCACGGACTATAGGAAAATTTTAAAGCAGTTTTATGAACATTTGAGATGAAAAACGAAAAGTTGAGATACAGACTAAAATTAAAGAAATAAATATAAACTATTTAAAATGCGTATAATAATCAAAATCTCTTGATTCTCGATATATTATAAAGCACTACCTTCCTAACAGAAAAATGAATCGACTGACGTCTAATTACAATTGGCTATGTTCAATTGATAACTGATTATCATTTTTTTTTCTTTGTGTATAAATAAAGTGCGCCTAACAAATATTATTTACGGCAGCAAATTCAACATACGGGGTGTGGGTGTGGGTGTGAGTTAAGAGAGGAATCACAGCCACAGCACACCGCTAGACAGATAAAAATAAAATCAATCGAATTCTTGAAAAGTTGAATAAATAGGGATCAGTGCTATGTGAACAAGAATTATATTATTTTTCAAATAAAATCAGTTCTTTTTATTTTCTCATTCTAGAATAAAATGAAATATGAATTATTTTAAGTTGCTGTTACACGTTTTCGTTCTGTCTTTTTTATTGGTTCATGGTTTGTAACTTTTGATGCAGCAAGTCGAATTTCCTCGTCAATTTTAATAACTAATGGATGTTGTGGAGATAGTGTATTACGTAAGATATCGTTTGCTTTATGCCAGTAGGTTAATGCTTGTTGTGATCGATTCTTAGCAGCATATATAGCAGCCATATTTGCATATGTAACAGCAATATCAGGATGTTTTGGTGAAAATGATTTCATCTGAATGTCGAGTGCTTTTTTGTAGAATTCTAATGCAGTATCATAATGTCCAAGATATCCATTAGCAGCAGCAATGTTTTTATATGATACACTGAAACCAAGATGATTAGTAGGAAGATGTTTTTTCTTAATATTAAGCGATTTTTGATAATATATAAGTGCTTGAGAATAATTTCTTTGGTCTTCGTGAACAGCTCCAATACTATCATAAAGTTTAGCCATTATTGGATGCATCTCAGCATCAGATTGTTTGAAAAGTAAAATAGCCTTATTGAAATAGTCTAATGCCTTGTCATATTGATATTTGTTATCATGATAAATCATGCCAATAGTATTGTATGTATCACCAATAGTAAGATAATCAGATTGACGAGTTACCTTGTAAATCTTTAA